CACACACAACTTTTCATTTCCTTTCTGAAATTATGCAGGATAAGCAGCTGAGAAAGACAACCGGGGAAGGGAGAGGTGACTTGCCTTTACCAGATTCGGGGGCCGCCTGGAGGCCACCCTTGGACGCCACTGATCCTTCTCAGCATTGTCCTACACATTTTGAAGGCTCTTTGTGACATTTTTTTGCAGTTCGGACAATGTGGCCCACTCCTTTATGCGTCTGTATGCTTACATCCTTTTCGTGGTTGCCGGGACCTATGTGACTAATTCTAAGTGACTTGGAAGCAGAAGTAATCGTGTCACGTCTGAGCTGGAGCATTTAATTCCTGGTATGAGATGCCCCAGCACTTTTGCTCTGACACCAATGGCTGTTCTGCCTACTGGCACGTCCATCAGCCCTCTCAGCTGACCCTGTTGTGACAAGCTTTTGTAGGTTTAAGGGACTGAGATTTTGGAGTTGCTGTCCCCACCTGTTCTGGTGCACCTTAACTCAGAGGATGCGACCAGGTACGGGACTGTGCATACATCTGTTGCCTCCATGAGAGCAGGTGTGCTTGTCACCAACAGTTCCTGCTTACATTTTCAGTGGCTAAGAGCTGGAAACATGGAAAGCGCCCACCCACAGGGAAATACTAGGTTTACTGTACAAAGGATTACTCCTGCATTATAGGAAGGTCGAACCCTGATACTTGCACGTTTGTGGACCTAGAGGATAATGTGCAAGCGAAATAGTAAATGCGTAAGAAATGAAAGACGAACACCCTGTACTTTCTTTCACTCGTGGAAGGTAAAGAAAAAAACGAACAATCAAAACGACACAGAAACGAACTCTTAGACAATAAGAACAAAATAATGGTGACCAGAGTAAAAAGGGGAAGGAAAATGCGTAAATAGGATCAGAGGGTCAGGGTGATGGGTGGGAACTGGCCTGCCAGCAGTGGCACCTACGGATGCGGCTGTACATAGGCTTGTCTACCAGAACCCTGGATAACGCTCTACAGCAGTGCTACCTCAGCTCACAATGCATACCTGCCGCTAATAGTTTTAGGTTAGTTACATGTCTGGCTTGTGGTATTTGAATACATTGGGTTTAAATGAAATAGATTATCAACCCTAAAAAAATCAGATTTGGTAATGAACAGCTCTATACCAGAGACATTTTACGGGGTGGAGTGGGGAATGGGATCAAAAACAGGGGGGGAGGGGGGAAGTGCTCTGGACTATGGTGATGGCACAGGGTGATTTGGTGATGGAAAGTCCCTGGGGATGACCACTGAGATGGAAAAAGGCACAAAATGATGTAAAAAGCCATTATATTATTAAAAACACACACACACAAATCTGATCTGACAAGGCGTTGAAGAACTCTCACAGCATGCCGAGTTCACCCTGCGAATGAATCCCTGTGTGCATAGGCTCAGCTGTTGCTAACTTTTGTTTTATGGTAAAATAAATGTGTCCGTAGGAGTATATTTTAAAAAATGGGTCTTATAAGACTCCAAGACTATAAATTGTTGCAGATTTATACAAAATGCTCAGGTTGGACTCTGGAGGCAGATGCTGATTGAGGTTGGGGTGGGAGATGCTGACTAGGGAGGAACCCCTGTGAAAGGAAGAATGAGAAAATGGGGTCAGGCCGAGGGAGGACTGACAAAGCCTCGGCCAGCCTGCTGAGGAGCCCCGCAGCCACTTTGCTCACAAGAGCACCCCAACCCCACTTCAGGCCGAACTGCCTGCTTTGTTCAGGTGAGCAGAAGGGTGAGTTTGGGAGGAACAGCTGAGGCAGACCCTGAGCAGCTAACAGTGGGAGGCTGCGGTTGCAGTGGCCCTTAGGTCCTCTCTCGAGGGGGATTTGGGCGGCTCATCTCCGTGTCCTCCACAGCCTCCCAGTGCTGTCAGGATCTGCAGCTCCATGTCCATTTGGGAAAAACCTTCTTTGGAATTCAGATAGGTCTTGCAGAGAGAAAATACAGAAGAGTGACATTAATGGAATGAACTACTCCCCTTGCAGCACTGGGATCCAGGGCCACAGCGCTAACGGCCCCCGGGCTGGCCCGGGGCTCAGTGCCTGACACTAGGCCCATCTAAGCCTGCAGTGGCTGTACTGTCTGTTTAAAGGCACAATTGGGCAAGAGAGTTATAAGAGGCCCAAACTTGATTGCCTGGGTTCTGCCCAGCCCCCTTCCATGCCAGTCAGGACCGATGTCCTGTAGGGACAATGACCCCTCTTCTTGCTCTCTTCCCTAGACACAGCGACCCAAAGGACACAGGCCCTGGTTAGGGGTTATAGTTCAGTGGGCTCCATGTTGGGTCGCTGGGTGGCCAGTGCCTTTCCCCCTGCGGGACCCAGACTGGTAGGGTTGGGAACCAGTGAGAGGTACTCCTGTGGAACTCGGTCCCCAACCCACAGTCTCCCGCTGGGGACACAGCACACAGATGGGACACTCTGGGGTGGTGTCGCATTGTACCTGCCAGTTCCTTCAGCATCTGTCCCAACTCTGCTGGGCCGGCAGCTTCTGGGTGGTTTGGCCTGTGACCCCACCAGCAGGTCCCGAGGTCACCGCCCACTCCCATACGTTCTTTAATGTCAAGTTGGGGCCCAACTAGGTATATGTTATGTGGTGTGCAATTCCATGCCTGAGGATCGGGTCCGTAAGCTTCTGGGCAGGAACGGAACACACGTCAATTCCTGAGTAGACCCCTCCGGCTGTTAACTTACCTCCTGCAGGGTCTGCCTCAGTGGCCTGCCCAGTCTCCCTTCTGAGCGCCTCACCTGAACAAAGTAGGCCAAAGTCAGCCCCAAGCGGGACATTTTTCATGAGCAATAGGTGCTCCTGTGAGGAGAGAAGGGCCCAGTGTGGTGATCTGATGCCCTGTGGCCAGCTGGGCTCTCGAGGCATGGTCGCATGTCAGAGGCCGAGCACTGGTCTCGGGTGGCCCAGCACCGGCGGGTCAGTGGCCTGGTCAGTGCCCTGGTCAGCGCCCGCAAGCGGAGCCCACCCCATTGCCCGCGTAGTCGCTGCCTCTGCCCCGACTGTCCTGCTGTTTCCATGTGCTCACTGCTGCCTCGTGGGGCGGCCTCACTTCACGCCTGATATAAAGAACTTCGCATGTTGTGCCGCCTCCATGCGTCCGTATTCTTATCACACCTCTTCTTGTCCTCAACCTTTCCATCTTTTTTCTTCCCAGGTTCCTGGGTCTGTCGGTCTGGGCACCTGACACTGCCCGTGATCGTTCTCTATTGCAGCCCTGGTTGCCTTCCTCCGGTACACGAGGTGGGCGACCGCCTAATATCTTGCCCGGGAGTGGTTTTCCTTAGCATTCTCTTTAAGGGCTCAGTTTTCGATACGCAGCTTCATAGTGAGTCAAGTCGTCCAGTCACTGGTATCCTGAGGAGACCCAGTTAAGATGACCGAAATGTCTTAGTTTGGTTCTCCCTGAAACCAAAATTCGAATGCAGGGAGCTTACCTGGAGGTGATCTCAAGCAGCACAGTGACAGGGGCGGCGAAATGAGACAGAGATGGGAGGGAAGTCGGTGGCGGCACCAATGGGCGGGTTTTCGCAGTGGCAACTGGGGCTCAGCTCCTTGGGGACCCTCTGAGGGGCCACAAGGACACGCCACAATCCCATCTAGGAGCGCCGAGGCGGGGATATTTGTCTGCCAACTTCCACCGCTCACTGGCAGAGGATCCACCCTGGGTCTAACTCCTTGGCCCTTCTTGGTGTCCCGGGATGCCAGTTCCCACGCACGCGCCGGCTCCTTGAAGAACCAGGTGAATCCTGGAGTGTTGGGAGGGGGTTGGGACTGACCAGCGGTGCCACACAAACCAGAGGGGACAGGTGGCCCTGTCCCATGACAGTGCTGAGCCCAGAAGCAGTGAGCTACTTGTCTCTAACTTTTCACACCCAGACTCTTAACCACCACCCCCTGCATCCCCACAAGCTAAAATGCTGACGTCAAGAATCAACAAGTCAGTGCATGGCTTCATATCTGAAACAAGGCGGATTTAGTGATTCAAAAAACAAAACCATGCAGTAGTCTCCCTGAGGGAACCTATGCACAGGGCTCTGAGGAGCCCTGGAGAGCCTTTCCCTTGCCTTGCATGGTTTCCTGGCCCTTAAGTGGAATTAACTGCCTCTCCCGAATATGCAGGTTCTTCCTAAAGGTGGAGGAGAGTAAGCTAAGAAGCAACCCAAGGTCCTCTGGGCCTCTCTCCCCAACAGATCAAGTGATGATGTGTGTTTCCAGTACGGGATGCATTGAAAATAGAGAGTGAGCCCTTAGAGGACAAGTGGCTGGGAGAGGAAACCCCACCTCTGGGGAAAACGGAGGGCTTTCCCCCGCTGGAGAGAGCCTGCCGTCAGACTTTGACAGGCCCAGCCCCAAGGCCTGGCAGACAGTGGGCTTGGCGGGGGGCACCCAAAGAGCATATTCCTGGCACAGCGCTGAGTCAGAAGTACATACAAATCATTCAGTGGTGAAACTGGTTTCATCACATGAAGACTTAGAATAACAGTACCTATGCAAAGCAACTGTGACAACGATGGAAACATGGAAAAGCCTGAAGAGGAAGCACAAGAGAACGGGGAAGGAGGAAGCACTTTGTGGTGCTGCAGCAACCAGTTGGCCCCTTCCAGCTTCACTGGGCACAACAGAGCTCTCTGTCCAACCCAGTCTGCCTCCGCCTCCCGCCCCGGGCTGCCATGAAACATCACCCATCCTGCCAGGCGGGCAGCTCTCTCCTCTCGCGTGTGATAAGCTACATTTTTTTTTAAGATTTATTTATTTATTCGTACAGAGCTGGGGTGCAGGCCAGAGATGCGGAGGGTGAGAGGATTCACCAGAGACAGAGCGGGGAGCAGAACAGGCCCGCTGACGAAGCACACTGCTGAGGGGAGCAGCGGGCGGGTCAGGAGAGGTCTGCCGCGCCATGTGGTCACCTCCGGGGCAGGCGGGGATCGAACTCATTTGGAAGTGGCTTTCAATTCTTAGTGTTGTGCTTTAACCCGCTGCGCAACCAGGGAGGGCCGATAAGCTACATTTTTAAGCCAAATAATCGAGATTTATGTTATAAGGTCTTACACCATTTCCATTTCTGCAGAGTAACATTTTGCCTTTAATCTAGAGTACAAACAGGAGAGGAGGGGATCTGGTAGCTAGCAGTGACGCAGAAATTCAGGAGGGGCAGCTCAGCCTCTGGGGAAGAGCTGGCGCCATGTATCACGGGGCCGCACCCTGGCCACTTCTCCTTGCAGAGCGAGCTGGGAGACCTGGGTTTGCCCCAGCAAGGAAGGCGCTGCCGTCTGCCGCCCTCATTCCGTGTCTCTTCCTCTATCTTCACTCCTTGCGCACAGCAGACACTCACCTTTTCACCAGGCCTTAGAAATACATTATTGCTCCAATTCCCAAATAGCATAATTTGGCTAGGCCTGACTTCCCAGTTTAAGAAACTCTTCAGATAGATGTCACTGAAAGCATTCTGATTGCCAAGTGTCTAAGTTCATGACTACTTATTTGCTCTAAAATTTAAGAATCAGGATAGACGCATCGTTTTACTGTCTTTCAACGTTGGGGTGTTTATGCCCAGATGCTCGCACAGAGACAGAGGCACAGAGAGAGAGCAGGGCAGGGGCTGCCCGGACTACTGACCCCCACTGGGCGGAGCGTCCTCCTGGGGCTTCTGCTGGTCAGTCTTTTCTTGCAGCTGTTCTTGTTGCTGATCATTGAGTTCTCCTGAAGACATGCCTTTTTGAAGGCTATAAGTATTTTTCTTCCAGTGATCAGAACCCAGAGACATTTCTAAATGCCATGTTTTCATTCTTTGCAGCTCCTTATGTAGCATCATACAGAAAACCGTATCCACCAAAAACATTATTCCTACTACCAGGTAGAAAATGGCTTGAAACCAGACCAGAGCTGATGACCGCAGCCCTGGAACAGAAAAAAGACAACATGAAGAGATGCTACTTAGCTACCAGGGGCTGTGTTCTATTGGGAGGTAAAGACTACCAAGACAGGCGTGCTTGTCCTCACTGTCATTTGGGGGGTAGGGGGGTGCAGGAGGCGTGGCGGCAGCCACATGGGCTCCATGGTGGGGGTGGGGGGTCAGGCTCCACAGAGGAGCCTCAGCGCCAGGCCCCCGTTGGTGGACTTACTCTCTAGCTTCAAAGACAGTGGCAAGCTCTGTGCCATGTCATGCTTGATGTGAAGTGAGGTCGAAGAGAAGCTTCCTGTTCCTAAGGACCTCTGTTCCAGAGCTCACAACCCTTCCACCTTCGCCAGACACAGATACTTGGGCCAACTTGTGTGGGTCACAAAATCTCTGTCTCATTGGCCCGTACGTGAGCACCTTAAGAACTGCACCCCAGTGTCTTTGTATCCTGGGTCTTATGATAGCACAGAGGAGGAGCACAATACATTGTTGAAGGCGGGTGGGAGGGAGAGAAAGAGGAGAGCAGAGGGAGGGAATGGGGGCGGGTTAGAGGGGGAAGGGAGAGGAGCAGGTAAAGAAAGGACAATAAGGAAGGAGCTAAATGGAGGAGGTAAAGAGAGGACAGGAAATGAGAGGAAAGCTGATGAAGGTCATGGGGTAGAGAAGCTCTGCATCAAGAGTGGAAAGGCCTGGTAGGACCGTGAGACTCCCGGAGCAGGCTCAGGCCTGTAGGCGAAAAGGCCGCTGCTTCTCCAGACCAGTGGACCCTTCCCTCCGCTCACCAGGCACTTGAAGTTGCACCTGAGGGCTCTGCTTAACGACAGTTCCGTCTTCTGTGGCAGCCTCACACCAGTAAAACCCTGAGTCTTCTCTTTTAGCCTCGAGTATCTGGTACTCAGAGGACGTGTTTCTGCTCATCAGGGGTTTGCTGCCCACGTAGAACGAGAAGTAAAGCTGCGAGCCAGGCTGTGGCTGGAGCAGCTTCGTCTCACAGCTCAGGTGGACCGAGCTCCCCTCTGCGAGGGGCGATGGGAAGGATGTCTTCAGCAGGGGGGTCGGAAATAGCTCTAAAGAAAATGTCAACAGAAACAAGTTGCTTGGGCCCACGGTCTTTCACAGATTCTAACCCCTCCCCCCGAAGGCCCCCCCAGAGCATGTGGCGATGGTCACAAATATCCCCACTTCCAGCAGAGAGGCATTCTGGGGTCTCCTCATAAACATACTTACAGATGCCAGCATGCTCACACCCTACTGGGGACAGTGCCTGTGTGAGTCCATGGTCGCCTGAAAAGCCTCGTCATTTAGCATATGGCCACATCCTGCTGGCATTGGGGGACCTGAGTGCCCACTGCCCCCACACTAACCCCTGCAGTGACTCATTATTTGGATTCCTGCTCTCAACAAATAATCTGGGGTGTGGTAGTTTCCTCCACAAAGGAAGGAACTACTTTGCCTACACAAAAAAAGTTGCCAGTGGTTATGAGGTGAAAGGCCAGGGTCACGAGAAGAGCCACACACCAACTGGCACAGAGGAAGCCGCTGAGCTGGCGAGAAGGGGACTCGGCCATGTTGTCCTTGAGAAGCAGGTGGGGTCTGGCCGAGGCCTGACACGGTCCTGGCTTTGGTTCCCACGGGGCTCTCATGAGATTCCATTATTTTCTAGTAACTCTCCTTCTCCCTTGAGTGAATCTCTAGTCCTTGCAACTAAAATAAAACAATGGAATCACCATATGTCGCCACCAGGGTTACGAGTGGGCACTGTGGGGCACCAGAGAGAGCGGGGGGGGGGGGGGGGGGGGGGGGGCGGGGGGGGGGGGGGGGGGGGGGGGGAACCAGGAGCCCCCCCCCGCTGGCCCCAGCCCAGCCGCTGGCCACGGTGTGACCTTTGGTCCAGAAGTTCCTCTGTCTGGAGCGCGGCTTCCCCGCTAACAAATGGAAGTGAGTGTTTGCAGTGGTGCCTGTGGCGCCTACGGCCACGCCCGACGTCCAGGGCCAGTACCTCTCACAGTGACGGACACGCCTGCCGACTTGAAGCGCTGGTTCTTCCCCACGCCTGTACAGTGGTAGAGGCCGCTGTGACTCACGTTGGTTTTCGGAATGGTGAATCCAGAAGTCTTATGAGAAAACTTAAAGGCTTTGCCATCTTTGTAGAAACTCACTTTGTACACCAGCCTATTTTTCCATCCGTGACACCTCAAGGCCAGAGGCTCCCCCTCGGTGAAGACTCTGCTAGAGACCTGGAGTAGCAGCCAACCTGAAAGACACGGACCGCAGAGGCGCGTCAGGGCACAGGGGAGCCGTGCGGGCCCTTAGCTCTTTGCCTCTTGTCTTTTTCTCCCTGCTGTATTCTAACCACAGAACTCTGCTGAATCACAGGCCTGTCTGCTGTCTACTGGAAAGAAAAGTTTGCTTTCCCCGCAGTCATGCACACAGCTCCTGCTGTCTTCCCTTGTCAGCCCCAAGAGCTGGTTGGGACAAAAAACTGTTTCTTCTGTGTGGCAGACAGACTGCTAAGGTGAGGCCAGTGAGCTTCCCCCATGGGCTCTCTCGCTGTCTGGGCAGAAGCTGTGACTTCCAGCCAATGGCAGGTGATAAAGGTGATGCGATGTCACTCCTCTGACTGCATTCTCCAGGACTCTGTCTGCCCCGAAGGACCAAGAGTGCCCTGTGGGCCTTGAAGAAGAGAGCAGCTGCCATGTTGGGAGAAGACTGGGAGGGGGCAAGGGCACCCCAGCTGACCGGGCGGGCTGGGAGGAGCTGCGCCCTGAGGGGATTGGCGGCCTGCAGCTTCCACAGAGCTCCCAGCTCAGCTCTGCCAGATGTCCTGACTATGGAAAGAAGGCACATTGTGCTTGAAACTGCTAAATTTGTGGTGATTTGTTACAACTAATGCACTGACTCCTGGCGAATCTGTAAATGAGGTAAGTGGGAGGAAGACAAACAGAATGACAACACGCTCAGATACAAATATGCTGCTAAGTTAAGGCCAGTCAGCAGCTCTGCTGAAAACAACTCAGGAGAAAAGAAGGAAGTGCTTGTTCCTCCCAAAACTTTTCTAAGCCTGGAAGGCAAGTATCCCAGGCTCAAGCAGGATTTTTAGTCTTTTTTTTTAAGATTTATTTTTTATGCACACAAGAACTGGGGCACAGGCCAGAGGTGTGGGGGTGAGAGGACGCCCCAGAGACAGAGCGGCGAACAGAACAGGCGGATGTACTGAAACCACTGCTGAGGGGAGCAGGGAGACAGGAGAGGGCTGCTGCGCCCCACCCCGGGGGTCCCTCCCTGGTCAGTACAAACTCAGGCTGCAGCAGAGGTCGGCTGACACTCAGCTCCTGCCCCTGGGGGAGGCCAAGGGCTTCTACTCTTGGTGCTGCCACGGTGCTTCTACCGACAGTAGATTCCCTTCACGTCCTCACTCCTGTTCCCAGCCAAGGCTTTTGTTGTTGTTTTGTAGTCTGCCTTTTCCTTATTGACTCATAGAAGCCCTTTTTCAAGCGCTCCCAGGCAGCCCTGGGAGCCAGGGCAGAGCTGACGGCCAGGTGAAGCCGTGTAACACGGAGTCGGGCGGGCTCAGGTGCGCTCGCTTTTCTGGCTTTGGCAGGCACTCAGGAGCTTGGAGACGACACATGGCAGGCGACACAAGTCCCCAGACTTGAGCAGTCTGGCCCAGGAGCTGACCCCGGAGCCTGAGGCGCCAGGGAACACTTCCGAGTGTGTGTGTTTCCTTGGGGGGCAGCCTGGTCCCCAGGAATCTGATTGTGCCGCCAGCATGAATTGTCAGTTCTTCTAGAATTATCTCTATTCTTCTAGAGAGTTAAATAGACCATTTGAACAGTTTGTCCTGAGTCATGAAATATTTTGCCCTAAAGAAGAGCACAATCACCATCTCTTGACCCACTGAAACTACTTACAGACTTAAGTAGATGATAAGGCTTTGGCTTGTTTTGTTTCTAGTCATCTGCACTTAAAGTCTCATGATAATTTCATGTCCAGAATATTATCCCCTGTTCTATGAAATGTCCCCCCGGCGCTAGGATAGCGATATCTACTGAAGCGTTGCTTGCAGAAGCACAAGAATGGAAATACCTTGGGCGTTTACTCACAGAGAACGGGGTAATGTCCGCTATAGCACAGCCATGCACGGACATCTGGGAGGAATAGCGCGTTTCTTGATGAAGCAGACCTCCGCGACACTTTAAGAGCTAAAAGTAAGGTTAGGACAGTCCACAGAGTCTTCTACCAACCACTTGAAAAATAAAGTTCCGCAGGTGCACAGCTTCGTGTCCAGGACTGCGGGGCGAGGGGCTGGGGTGGGCAGACGACGGTGCCCATCACGGTACGCTTCTCTCTCTAGCTGTTTGCTGTGTGCAGGCGTAATTTTTTCCAATCAAAGTGGATATTTTTGAATAATGACAAAAGCTTTGAGCCCGAGGTTCAGCCCAGACACCGAACTCCCAGCTGCCCCACTGAGGGTGCCGGGACACAGGTAAGCGCCCTCATGCGCTGTTTTGAGTACCTTGACTTTGTTTCCCCAGTGGGCACATAGAACACACTTATTCTAAGGCAAATCACACACACTCACTGGCAGCTGATGCAGTTACACATGGCCGGTCTCCCGGATAAGCAGTAACCAGTGTGTCACCCCTACTCCTGTCGTGCTCCCGCTGTCCGCAGGTTTGTCTTCCCGCATTCCCGGGAGAAGGGCCTTCAACAGCAGCTGCTGAAGAAAGCAAGCTGGCGCCCACCGTCTCTGTGCTGACCCCGCTGTCCCTCTTTACTGACCCTTGCCCACCTCCCCCCCTTTTCCCTTTGTATAAATAAGGGAAGGGCAGCACGCGGGTCTGCAGGCAGGGGTCTGCCGCCCTCCTCATTTGTCAGCAAATAAAACCACTTTCCTTTTCCCCAGACTGTTTCCTTCACTAGCTGAGGGAAACTGGGGCCGGCGGCCGGTAACAAGGCCACAGAGGCGAGAACACAGAGGAAGGCCCGCCAGCTCCGGCCTGCCTGCCCCACCCACACTCACCCCTCTGGACCTCCAGCTGCACAGGGTCACTGGGCGCAGAGAGGCCTGTCTGGCACCTGTATTCACCGCTGTCGTGGTCGCCGGCGCTGGCAATGCTGTAAGCCGGCGTCACCGTCTGAAGGACCGTGTGGTTGAGAAACCACCGCGTGGAAGTGTTGCCAGGCAGCCTGGGACCCTCACAATGTAAGGCCACATTTTCCTCTGGGAATATATTGACCCACGGGGGCTGCAAGGTGATCACAGCCTTTTGGGGCTCAGCTTGGGATTAAGAAAAAGAGGGGAGGAGGGAAAGACCGGTAAGTGAAAGTCGCTCTGGGCGCTTGGCAAAGTTCTGAGGACGCACAAGCGAAAAAGGAGCATTTAGGCTAAGCTGAGGAGTAGACACATGGGAACCTTTTCCAGGCCAGGCTTGCAGTGGCCGGGGCCCTCTGCAGTGTCGCTCCGTCACTGCCTCTGCTTCTGGGCTTGGAGGTTTGTGGGTTCTGAGGAGTAAGTGGCTAGTTTCCGTCTCATTGTTGGTAAACAATGCAGTGAGGCTGTAAACCAGGGAGCACGGACCACAGGTGGTTTTCTGATGCTGTGCCTTAGGTCTCTGAGGGTTAATCTAAGACCTAAACTTGTGTCTCCTTTGGAAACAGAGATTCTAACTTCTCCTTTTGAGATCTTTCATTCCACTTGGCTCCCTCTGAGGAGAAAAAGCAAGTGTCTGGGGGTGCTGGAAACCCTGGCGGAGCCACCGTGCGCTCTTACCCTCCCCTGCCGCCATGTATACATTTGGGTATTAAGCCCAGAGGTCGGGGTTCGCTCAGAAAATCAAACTGAAACTATAAAAATCACATTCTGAATACAAATACAGGGGCGTTTACATCATTTATAATCTCCTTTCTAGCCCTTCCCTATCTTCAAAATAATGGCCCATTCTTTGGAAACAGAAATGAAGCAGAAAGAGGAGTTAAATTAGTCGTTACTTACCCACTTGTCCACCTACTGGAGCTAGAAGAGACCAGAGAATAGAGACAGCCGTCAGTCAGAGGGAGAAGACGGGAAGGGAAACTGGGGGAGACAGAATTAACTTAAACTCTGAGGGACTTCAGGTTTCTTGAGTTTCTCTACCCACCTCTTCCCTAAAATCAGTTACCACCGGTACTGAACAGCCTGCAGGTGGCTGTGAAGGTTTTATTTTGACATGATGCTTTCAGGCTTCATGCTACCCCATGATTGCCTTCCCATACTTCTGATCTAAGACCATCAATAAACCACAGAATCATAGTGGTGTCTGTACTCACGAGTTCCAGCCTAGGACATCAAAGAAAAGGCATCCTGGCTCCCCCAAACCACAGCCTGTACCCTGCTGGCTCCCCCGCTAAAGCCAACTTACCCCAGAGGAGCAACGCTGTCAAGAGCCACATGTTCTCCTCAGACAGACAGAAGCAGGGATGTCTGTAACGCACAAGACTTGGGCAAGGTTTGCAGGGTTCTGGAGCCAAGATTAGAAAAGAGGAAGGAAATGACCACTTCTGACCATTTTCATCATCTTCCTTTTCTGAGAAATACATTCCTGATTTTTGAAACAGTCTCTCCCCATTCTCCTGCCTCTAGGCCAGCTCCCCCTTTTGACATTGTAGGTTTTTAGTTAGATTCTGAAGGAAGGTTAAATTTTGGTGAACTTTCTATTCTGATTATCTTCTCTCTCACCCAATTCTGTTCCTGGGGCTGGAATACAGCAAATTCTCATTTTAAAAATTAGTATAAACTATTGGGATCACCGTTGTATATGTTTTGCCTTTCATTTAAATTTTAAATAAATCTGCATATAGTGCCTGTGAGTGGGGTGAAAGAAATATCTAACTTTTTCCCATAAGTATAAATAATTGTTCCAGCAGCATTAAAAAACAAAAAATGAACTTATTCATTCTCTGCTGTGAACTGTTAATCCTACCACAATTAAGTTTTCATTTATACTGTCAGATTTCGTAATATTGCTGGAGTGGGATCAGAATTACATTGAATTAAGAAAGTAATTTGGAAATGATGGATCTATCTTTGTAACACTGAGTGCTTCAAACCACAAGCTTGTTCTGACCTACTCAAGTATTTGGTGTTCCAGAATTACTTGCTATAAATTGCATCATTTTCTCCGTAGATGTCTTGCACAGATCCTGTGAGGTCTCTTTCCACACATGTGTAGGGTGGTAAGCTTAAAATTTACATTTTAAATGGTAGCTTAAAATTTACATTTTCTAAATATTTGTTTATGGTATATTGGAAAATGCAGTGGAGCAGTGGTGTATATACAGATACTTTACTAAGCTCTTCAAAATATTTTCCAGATTATTTGTTTGCAGATTCTCTTGCATCTTTTTTTTTGCAGGCATTCATTTTTGTTGTTGCTATCCGAATGAGGAGCATGCTGACCGCTAAGTTCACCCAAAGTAGGAGAGTCAGAGCCGCAAGAAGGTGAAACAGTCGTCTGGAGTCCGGAGTCTGTTTATTAGGACCGCCCATGGGTATATATAGGGTCCGACATGCCTTGTACGTGGAGAAAAACTGGAAGTGTACCCATGCTGGGTAGGATACATGTTTGTACGGAGCTTCTTGCAATTTCTAGAGCAGGGGAGGAGGCTGCAGCTGTTCAGAGGACAGAGCGCACAGTGCTCTGTTGGCTTGTCTGTCGCCTTACCGGGGAGCATGCTCACCCGTGCACAACATCAGCCAGGGCGGACAGGTGCACTTGAGGTCCGGTGGAGTTAGCCACACATTTTATTTTCTAGTATCATGGAACTTTACTTCTTTCTCTCAGATCCTTATATGGTTATTTGCTGTAGGATTTTGGTAGATATGCTTTTCCAGGGAAATGATGATTTACTTCTTAAGACTTCTAAATCATAAGTCAGTGTTGTATTCCTTGAATGCTTTTTCTTTATTAACTGTTATGATCAAATAATTTCCTTCAACTAGTTAATGTAGCTAATTATATTCATAGATTTGCTGCTGTGAAGATCTCTTAAATCCCCTGGTAACTTGATCTCTTCGTGATTCATTATATATTTATATGTATTATTTAGTAACATACATATTAAATGTTAATAACATGTTAAAACATATTATGCATTTTACTATATATTTTTAGATATTGATGAATTTGACCTGGCAATGTTTTGCACTTAAGGTTTCTGCTTTTCTGTTCATCATAAATTTCACTAGAAGTTTGCCAATACTATTAGTCTTTTTAAAGAACCAAATTTAGACTTTGTAGAGTCTATTGATGATATCATGGTGTTTCTATTTTAATTACTTTTTGCTGTTTACTACTTCTCCTTTCCTTTGCTGACTTGAAATTCTATGTTCAAGTTATTCATTTTAGCCTTTCTTCACTGCCGGCATAAAACTATAAGATGTTTTAAATTTTTGAATCATGGTTTCAGTTGCTTCCCCCAAGTTTGGATTCATGATGGTCCTGTTACTGGTTAGAAAACTTCCCTTTATTTGCTAGTTTTCTTTTTCCATTTCTTTCTCCTGTGATTTGCAATTTCTGTGCATTATTTTTATTCTCTAGTGATCTTCTTAACAGTGTATGTACCAGCCATGTTTTATGTAACAAAAATTGTAAGAAAACCACCAGGATGACCTTCTCCAGGAGACCACGCTCACCAACTTCATGCTCCAGGAAGTGGCCACGGAACATGACCAAAAGTATGTGGTCTGAACTTAATGTGTAGAAGGTTTTCTGTAGAAAATGAATTTTATCACCTTTTTCCTCAAACTATTTCAACTTAAGATAGATCTTTCTGTGAAGAGACAACTGCTGCACAGTGGTGACCCTTTCAGTGCTGTGCCGATTACAACAAGGAAGTCGTCACCTTTATGACAGCATCACCCAGAATTTCTAAGAACTTCACAGCTGTAACTACTTTCCAAATGACACAGTGCTGTTCCTCTATTCTGAGGGGCTCAAGCTGAAGGAAGAATCATGTGCTGTTTCCTTGCAAGATTAGTCATGTTGGAGTAGTGACATGGAAAATTCACTCCAGACCAAACTGATGGTTCGAAGAGCACTCTGCAGTGATATTATCTCAGCTTTTCTGCCTGCCCCAGTTGTCAAAACCAAAAGACAAAGGATGGAAGTTGAATCTTTTATTTGATCAGCAAACTAACTTGAGAACTAACTGCTGGGCCTTGTGCTTCAACCGTTCCAACAGCTCATCTCTAACCGACTTTTTTACAGCTAAACAAGGGCAGTTAATTATCAGTGAGTGGCCTTCACTCCAGACAGCCAACAACTTCTGTTTTTTTCTTTTTTTATAAAGATTTTTATTTGTGCATACAGAAGTGGGGTACAGGTCAGAGGCTCAGGGGCGGCGAGAGGCTTCTCCAGAGACAGAGTGGGGAGCAGAACAGGCAGATCGACGAAGT